CACACCCTTGCACAAGACGTTGGCGGATTAGATACGTCTCTTTGAACCTACAAGAAATCCTCAAATCGTTATTAAAAAACAATAATCGCCCCGACCCGCTCCGCAGTGAATACGATAAATTCCATTCAACCCACAAAACCACAATCGTGGGACAGAGAGTCAAACTCACAAAAACCAAAGCAAAACTATCCACACTGGAGATCAAATATACCACTGTTGTCGACGACTTGAGTGCTGCCTTCCAGGATTACTTGTCAAGCAATCTCATATCTCCAGTTGATCTTTTTATGCATGAGGCGTTTCTCTACGACTTGAGAACTCCCATAAAAGACGCTTTTACACCTCGACCTCGTTTCACGATCGAGCGAGCTTTATCTACTCCATTCGACTACCTGGTTGCAAGCACACATTCTACGGATGACGAGAGCACGTCATCTTCTAAACCAGCAATTTCCATTCTGTATAACCTTTATTTGGAAACGGGGTCTCTTGTCAATGCCTATGACCTGTGGCGTGCGTTTTATACAATGGCTGGGGGTGATGATGGTGAGGAATCTGATGAGCGCGAGGCGTTGGCTCTATTTTACCGTGCCTTATCGGAATTGAAAATGATGGGAATGGTTAAATATAGTAAGAAGAAGAGTGACCATTTGGCGAAGTCATCTTGGAAGGGTCTGTAGTTTTTTATAGATAGATGCATCAAAATAAACATACATGCCTATTGGGAAACTTCCTTTAGACAAAAATGGAATATATTATATATATATATAGGGGTATCGTAGTGCTTATTCAATGTTTAACAACGCCGTCACACTGCTAGATCAGCGCCATAGTCGAAAAATAACATAGAGTTGGCAAATGGCCAACAATGCTCCAAAAACGCCCCGTGGACCTAACAAGCCCCTTTTGCCTTTCACAGCCGATATAGTACACTCTCGTCTCAAGAAAACGGCCACATGGACCATGAGCGCCTTGGCCGTGCCTGTCTTTCGGCTTCTAATTGTTCTTCACGGAGCTCCCGATAAACTTCATCTGCCAGCTGTTCCAGCTCAGCATCCAGTTCCTCATCCTCCCTATTCCGAACAGGGTGGATAATGTCATCTCTCCCCAAAGGTCCTCCACTCTCACTGAAAACCATGGCTTCCCTGCGCTGTCGCCGCAGTTCTTGCTCTTCAGCGGTTCCTTCTTGTCGTCTCCTCCCACCAGCCCATAATGGTAAACCAGCAGTTTCCTCCCCCCCAACCATCCAGACATCGCTATCATTTTCGCTGCCGTCATCATGATCATATTCGTCGCCAATCTCGTCGTCATATACGCTGTGAGTGTGCTCCGCTATTCTACTACCCATGAGCCCGTATTTCCGTAATTGGCTGACTCCCTCCTGATGGGAAGAAAGGGTGCTGATGATGGAGCTCATGACGGAGTCGTCAGTGTACCATGTCTTCGTTAAGACAACCACATCTATTCGTTTAGATTCGTCTTCCGTAGTGCAAGGAAACGGGTACTTCGAAAGCCACCGACTTATAACGCCAGCCTCTAGCGCTGCAGGTATATTCTCTCTGAGAATTATGTCAAGGGTATTTAGAGCTTTCTTTTCGCCCTGTGGTCGCGTTCTGGGAAGGATTGGTGAGACTGTTTTAATGTTTTCTTCTGTGTGCTCGGCGAGAAAGTTACAAAGGCAATTGACAAGGGCAGTATAGGTAGGGAGATCTTTTAGCCGGTTGGTCACGGAAGAACGAGACACTGTAGATTGTGTAAAATTAGCCGGAATAGTAGATAGTAACGAAAGGAAGCAAAGGGAATGAGGAAGGGAGTTAAAAAGAGAGAGTAAACTTGCAAGATCGATTAGAGACCAGGAAATAAAGAGCATTCAAAGCCTTGTTCCGGAGCGTGGGATCCTTGCTTGACAGATCTTCTAGTAGTAGATCTCGTGTAGATCCTTTAGTTGATCTTTCGGAGATAATCCTCAATGCCCTATCTGATGGTTAGAATATATGTGTAAAATGTCTGCTAGGAAATCCTTACGCTGCTCGAAGATCAAAGCTTGTGCTTTCTGACAGCTTTTGAAGAGTTTCTAATTTCAGAGCTACGATCCATGGCGTTAGTCCCCAAATTCCCACAGACCCGGAGAGTGGATTTTACCATCCTCCGTTCCTTCACCAATTACCTGGTCATCTTTCTCCCCATTTCTGATCGTAGTGAGCTCCCGGATACGATGGAGTTCGGCTGCGACTCCGCGCACTGCAAAGAACAGAGTGACGCCTGCATATAGGGAGCATTAAGTAACGTGTACAAGGCTTGAGTGCTATGGGGAACATACCTAAACATAGCCATACAATACGGTCATTATATTGTGAAGTCATAGCCACTGTGTGCTCCCTTTCTCGCGGGTATTTTCGACATTGATGCGCGGTTGCTGTGGATTACAATTAAATGGAATAACTAGTTCCGGGAAAGGTGGAGGGTGGCAGAATATTTTTACTTTGGCCCGCCTAGAGGCGGTGAAGAACTAAAGTGCCAGTTTAAAAATTATTTACTGGAGCTTCAAAAAATGACAGTGAAGCCAACTACCAGTTAGGAGAAAACATTCACCAATGCCCCCTTCGCAGCTGAAGCAGCTGAAAGCCTCTCTGCGGGAAAGCGGAATCCTGGGGCCGCAGCAGTCTAAAAAGCAGAAACAGAAAAACGCAAAGTCTGGAGCGGGCGCTGCGAGCCGAATACACCGCAATGCTGCCCTCCAGGGAATACGGGAACAATTCAATCCCTTTGAAATCAAGGCGCCCACGAGGCCTGCTAAATTCAGTTCTGTTTCGCGATCGAACCAAGATGCACCACGCTCCAGACCCGGAGTCACCAAGGGCTTAGGAGAGCAGAGAGTGTGTTTTCAATTCCTGGCTTATTTCCGTTAACTGTATTATACGCTAATTATTATGTAGAGGAAAGAAACCCTCTTAAAGGAAATGCAGCGCCGGAGTAAAGTCGGGACATTGCTCGATCGACGCTTCGGTGAAAATGACCCTACAATGACCCCAGAAGAAAGAGCGGCCGAGCGGTTTGCAAGAGAGAGCCAGCGGAGGCTCAAAAAGGAGTCAATGTTCAATCTTGAAGATGACGAAGAAGAGGTGCAACTTACCCATTTGGGACAAACTATTACGTTTGACGCAGATAACAGGGATGACTTTCAAGAGGACGATCTCAATGTCTCTGATGAAGAAGGGAACGTAGAGAAAATACGTAAACGAAGGCGAACGGCTGAAGAAGATGACATGGAGGGGCTGGCGGAGGACTCGGAGGAGGAAGGGCAACCGGAACGGAAGAAATCAAAAAACGAAGTCATGAAAGAGCTCATTGCGAAATCGAAATTTCATAAGTATGAGCGTCAAAAGGCAAAAGAGGATGATGATGATTTGCGAGCGTCACTCGATAAGGGTCTTCCCGAAATTTTTGAGATGATGAGAGGGGTCAAAAAACCTGAACCTGAACCTTTGCCACAACCTGATCTTGCCGCCACGATGAATCCGGATCGTGCGGCTCTCTTGAATGGAAAGCCAAGAGACGAGGCTGATAAGGAGTACGATCAACGTCTGAAACAAATGACCTACGATAAACGAGCTAATCCTGTAGACCGTACTAAGACAGAGGAGGAGAAAGCAGAAGAGGAGGCAGAGAGACTGAGACAACTAGAAAAAGAACGGCTCAGAAGAATGCAAGGGGCGGGGGATGACTTGTCAGAGGAACAGGATAGCAACGGTGAGGAAGAAGTGGAGGATAATTCAGAGCCAGATGATGCGAAGGCATTTGGATTGGCTCAACCGAAGAGGATTCAAGAGTTCGCTGTAGAAGATGAAGACGATTTTATCATCGACCGCGACCTTGTTGAGTCTGACTCTGAAGCAGAGCTTCTTCTAGATGAGAGCGATATGGCCAGCGCTTCGACTGATGAGGAGTCTGAGGCGGAAGATGATGGGTTCATTGGTGGTTTAGTTCTCCCTCCTGGCGCGAAAGCCGATAAGGGGCCATCGACCACCAATGGCGAATCCTCCACAGCATTGACAAACAACGACCTTGCATTTACATATCCCTGCCCGAGAAGCCATGAACACTTCTTGCAAATCATTAAGGATACCAAAACCGAAGACCTACCCACTGTAGTTCAGAGAATTCGCGCACTCCATCATCCAGGCCTCCACGGCGACAATAAATCCAAGCTTGCGACTTTTTCGCAAGTGCTTGTGCAGCATACCGTGTACCTAGCCAATCAGCCAAACCACCCACCCTTCGCAGTTCTCGAGAACTTGTTACGCCATGTCCATTCTATGGCCAAGGCTCAGCCGGAGGCAGTAGCTAGTGCAATGAGAGACCATTTGCGAGAGATGTCGGAAACTCGACCTTTAGAATTGTTGCCAGGCGATCTCGTTATTTTAACTGGCGTGGCAACCATATTCCCCACCTCCGATCACTTCCATGCTGTTGTCACTCCGTCCATTCTTGCCATGGCTAGATACCTTGGTCAGAGCAATATCACCAACCTTGGAAATATCGCGACTGGCGCATATATCGCAACCCTTTGCATCCAGTATCAGACGCTAGCCAAACGGTATATACCAGAATTCATGAACTACGTCCTAAACGGTCTCTGCATTCTAGCGCCTATCGAGCCCAAAGAGACACTCGGCTTGTTTCCTCTCCGGCAGCCGTCTGTGCCTCTGCATCTAACCGCTTCAGAACTCCCATTGACCCACATCAGAAAACTTACATTCTGGGACGTTCTCGCCAAATCTTCTACCGACAGTCGTGAACAAGAATCCCTCAAGCTTTCCCTCATCAGCACATTTATCACTCTCCTTGACCATGCCGCGGACCTCTGGTCATCCAAATCTGCATTCCATGACATTTTTGCCCCAGCAAATCGAGTCCTCAAACATCTCAACCACTCCCTCAACAACAAATCCCCCAGCACTCTCTCCGACCAACTGCAAAGGATTCTCGACAAGTTACAAGTGCTCCTAAAGCAATCCGACCTCGCCCGCCGGCCACTGCTACTACATAACCACCGCCCGCTGGCGATCAAAACCGCCATTCCTAAATTCGAAGAATCTTTCAACCCGTCCCGCCATTACGATCCTGATCGTGAACGCGCTGAGCTTAACAAGTTGAAAGCAGAGCATAAGCGCGAGCGTAAAGGCGCGATGCGTGAGCTGCGCAAGGACGCGAACTTCATTGCGCGCGAGAGCCTACGTGAGAAGCGCGAGAAGGATGCGGAGTATGAGCGCAAGTATCGTAGGCTTGTGGCGGAAATCCAGGGTGAAGAGGGCAGAGAGGCTAAGGCTTACGAGAGAGAGAAGAAGGCGAGGAGGGCGAAGAAGTAAGCGGAGAACTTGTTTTTTTCTCTATTTTTTGGCATGTCAGATACTATAGGTCTATATACTCTTTTGCATATCCTGTGTCTAGTGGCTCGGCTGCGGCTGCATCTTTGTCTAGTTCAATAGGCGTACATCAAATTTAATTGCTTGAGGCTTATAATGTTGAAAACATGAGGGTTGTAATCCAACGATATTTATAAATTCTTTTCGTACCTCTGCTAATCGGGGATATCTATGTGCCAATCCTCGAGATGGGGCAGAGAAATATGTAAAATGACCCCCTAAACACCACAAGGGCCAAAGAAGTATATAAAATGAAACTGAAAAAGACACGAAATTCTCCAGGCGCCGCTGCTATCTAGAACATGAAATACAAATAACAGAAACAAATCTAATAAACCACATATACATACAAGGCGCTCTCTCTGTTAATATCACATTTTGAGCTCAGCACCAACACGAAACAAATACCGACATCTCTCTAGTTGATCTTCGTCCATCAATCTTGTCTTCGTCTCGCCTGTTTTGACGTATAACTGATGGAGCGCATTGCCAGTCTTCGCAGTGGTGACAGTTTCCCAAACGGGGCTGCCCTTGGCTCGATATTTATTCGGATCAAAGCTGCGGATAAAGCTTGTCCAGTATCCTTGCACAACAGGCACAATCGGCGCATTAACACCCTTGTCCTTGTATGAGGCGGGTCCGTAGCCGTACTCTGGGCCCCAAATAGCGGGAACGTGAGCCGTGTGGCCGACTCCGATGCCGCTTTTCATGGCTGGAGGGTCCTCAACATCATAGTGAAAATTCCATGTTTTATTCGGATCCCCATATGTACTACCTGCAAGAGTGAGGATGATGGCGGGACAGCTGTATCGCATTTCACCGTAGGCGTTGCTTCCTTGGCGCCAGTATGCGCCATAGCTTTTAGCGCCAGGAAACACATCGTTGGTCTTGGGGTACAAGTCATGGATCTTCTCGAAGTGCTTTTCCTTCATCGCTGGGAATTGGTTTTTCAGGAACGTGTCGGATTCTTTGAAGCTGTTTGTCATCCTTGGAACGAAGACAGTGCCTTCGTTACTGTCTGAGCCAAATATCATAGGGACCTTTTTGAACATTCCGTTCGAGATCAGTTTGTAGGTATAGTCCCTGATTATATCATTGTCTATGGTTGGGCTATACATGAACAGTGGCGGACCATTGCCACCAGGGAGAGGGTATCGCTTGTCGAGCTTCTGCATATCTATTACATTTACCCTGCGGAGACAGGCAAGGGAATCTTTGCCATTGCATTTTGTGTTTTCAACAAGATTGTCATACATGTATTGGCTTTCTTGGACGTTGAGCTGTGTTCCGAACGAAGGAGAACCTGCTGCGACCGCATGGAAAGTGTCAACGCTTCTGCCCCCGAAAGCAGTGAGAAAATAGTATACAGAAGCTGCACCAGCACTATCTCCTCCGATTGTGACATGGTCAGGGTCTCCACCGAACTAAGGGTTAAAGTTAGTATAACTAAATTTCAGGCGCACCCCGAGATAAAATATCTCTGAAATGATTGAATGGACGGGTAGGGGCCAGCACAAACCTGTTTAATATGCTTTTTAACCCACTCAAGAGCCTTCATTTGGTCTTTTAGGCCATTGTTCAAGCTAGCCTTTTCCTTGATCTCTTTACTTGCGAGGAAGCCGTAAAGCCCCACACGATAGTTGAAAGTCACAACGATAATCTTCATGCCCGAGGCTTTGATGAGGCCCGTACCGTTGATACGCCCGCCGGCATTAGCGTTGAATCCGCCGCCCTGAATATAGAAATAAACAGGGAGCTTAGAGTCCGCATTGGCATTTGATGGAGCATAAACATTAATGAAGAGGCAGTCTTCTGAGGTTTGTTTTCGAGGAATAGTTTTAGTTGACAGGCAGCTGAAGCCAAACTGTGAAACAGTTGTTAGTTGTTTGATGTTGGCTCATGCCGCTCAAGCTGGAAATGGAAATGGAAGGTCAGTGAAGTATATACTTTATTCGCATGTTGTTGTTTTCTCTCTTTCACTGGCTCCTCCGGTGCGGCGAATCGAAGATTTCCCAACGGAGGTGCCGCATATCGCATTCCAAGCCAATGAGTAATCCCTCCTGGGTTTTGTACACCCTTGTATTTGGCATAACCTAAGTTAACCAATGAGCCCGTGGCTTCGGCCGACTGAGAGATATTATGTAGAAATAACAAGAGACAGATAAAAAGCACGAGCGACGCCATGGAGAAAAAACAGACTATACAAAGGCTCAAGCCCGGAGGGAGCCGAGAGTAATGTTTTTGAAACATGAGAAGCAAAGGGTGAGGGCGCCAGCTTATATCTCCTTTTCGGAGACACAGCTGGCAACTCTTGTCGTATTTAGCAATCACTAATGTGAGTTGTCAGTTGGTAAGGAATCAGCCAGGTCACCAGTTCTCCGGATTTTGAGTCAGAGGGTTTTCGTCCGCATGTTCCTGTTCCACAATAACTATCACGGTCACATGAAACAGGAGTCTCCGAGGGGAAGATTCTCCCTTTTGTTTGGGAAGCGGCGCTCCCGCCTGGTGTTCCCGTCGCAACTCGGGCTTGGTGTGTGCGTTGTTTATTTCAGGTCTTTCGTTTGAACGTGCAGGGGCAGTGAGCTTGTAAGTTTAACTCTGTTCGAGTTTCAGCACTCAAAATAGGTTTCGGAAAAAGTCGATCACCATTCCCCCTTGCGAATGGAGACGAAACCAGCGTGCAGGCCATCCTAGCCTGTACGCTCTAGTGGCACACCTCATGATGTTAGGGTTGTACGCTCGATATGCTGTACAGCGGGAGTATCAAGGAGGCATGGGAGAGTGTCTGTCGCTGGCTGGGGCATCGGGCCTGCAGCTAGCTCGGGTGATTTATCTGAGCCAAGAAAACCACCGTTGAAACCTGGGACCAATGGAGAGTTGTTGGAGTGCAGGGGATTACTATAGCCGAATGCTTAGGAGAGTCTTAAAACAACAGTTGGACCTTCTCTTGAAACTCACGATTTTGAGTAGCTGATCAAGGGCACCAAATCCAACGCAGGAGGCCGTGCGCTTCCATGCCGCTTGCGAGGTCATTTTGAATACTCTTATAATTAGTACTATGGCTCCGCATATTACTCGCTCACCTTGGTGTCAGATTTTGTGGTCCGCTATCCAACCCAAGGCGGTATTAGACACCACAACCCGATCCCCTTGGATTTCACTTGCGGTGTGCCGGCCCGACCATCGCACGCCAGGGATCTGCCTCACGTTGCGATATCCGGGATAAAAATAGGATCGAAGGGGCAAATGGAGCGAGAACCCGCCGCACTGGCAGAAGGCAATAACAGTAACTTCTCGTAGTTTATTAAACTGAGTTAATTCTCCGTGTCAATAATAATAAGTGTCCGGAAAATGCTGAAGGGTTCACTTTTGTTAGTTACTTGTAACTGTTAACTAGTTGACTAACTAGTTAGTTAGTTAGGTTAACTAAGAACCTTGAGGCTGATATAAGGCTGCAATTCTCAGTGAGAGCTAACTTTTTGGCAACTACGCGTACACATTTATTAATTTCAATTTTCAACAAATATTTTAATAGGAGCCGGATTCTAGAGCGAGTTTGATATCGCGAGCTCTGCATGAAACGTATTTGCACGTCGCCATTTGGTATGTGTGGTTTCTTACATTTCAACTTCTCAAACTGAGATCCGACATCGATGCAGTGTAACTGTCAAACTGGATATCACACACCATCGATCGATGCTTCGAACGAAGTCCTCGAGTATTTCTAAGCCCACTGTCTATATCAACTTTCCACCATCCTAAACGCCCCTCGCCCAGCTTACCTGGCTCTATATTTATGCATGGGTCCGTCCTACCTGTCCATATCCCCCGAGATTCAGACTCGTCTCCAGCGCCTTGGATACACGGTGGTATTCTGAACGGGATGGCATCCTCTGATGAAATTATTGCATGGTAAAATCTCTGTATCTCTAGTTATAACTAGGCCTAGGTATCTTCAGTGGTTGGCTCTTCTGGAGGTACAACAAGTGTATTTGCATATATATAAATCCATTCCTCAGTCTTGATATCGTGAAACAAATAGCACTGGTTGGCGTGCTCCGTTCATAGGGCTTTTGAGGTAACAACCATATTATCCTCATTCAAACACAGGAACGAAAATCACAATCAATTGGAGGTTTAGATATAGAAGATTGCATAGAGAAGAAAGAGGCCGAGGGATGGAAGGGTTACTCGCAAAATATTGTCATTGACCAGGTCGTCGACGAATCCATCGATCATAATTAGAGAAGTCAATGAAATTTTCCCAACAGATATCCATCTACCAGGTTCGATCGATAGTCGGGTCAAGTAGCAGAAAAGGCCAAGCTTGGAGTAACAAAACCACATGTGACGTTAACTTATAGTTAAGGTTGTTGACGATGATTACGTCAAACCCACCTGAGATTAAAAGTGCATCGTATCCATGACACATACATAGTGTTAACCATATTAAGTCGCACACCACATGCAATCCATATCCGCCAATGCGAAAGAGTGGAAGCGTGTGTATTTAGTTAACAGGCAGGCCTAGACCTGCGGCTTCCCTTCAGGTCATGTATGTGCTTTCCGTCTGAGCTCATCAGCAAGCCGATCCATATAAAACCGAGCCATATCACGGGGAAGGCCATCAAAAGACCGTGCGATTTTTTCCACCTCCATCCGACCCCTCTCATATGCCTGTAGATCTCTGTTCCCGTACACGTCCCGGCCCGCCGCGTAACCTCTACCAATATTCCGGAAAAACGCATTGACAGCTATGCTCACTCCATTGATTGGATTCGCAGTATGAGGCCAGAGTGGTGGAATGAAAAGGACATCTCCTGGCCTGAGGCGAGCTTCATGAGGATGGGTGTTTGGTGGGGAATACGGAGAAGTATCCGACATATTTTTGAAGATATTGATTGATGAGCTTGAAGCTCCAGGAGCGAAACCCAGACGCAGCACGTCCGATGGCGGATATAGGATAAGTCGCTTATCACCTTGTATTTGGCAGAGGACATTTGACATGACCTAGAATCAAAAATCAATCTGTAGGCCTTGAAAGACTAGGTTAGGGGAGCTCACATCATAATGGAGCCATAAAATAACAGGCCCGGATAACCTCAGAGGAAAGCTGTGGGCATTCTCTGAAACAAACGAGAGTTCGGGCGGGAGATGGAAATCACCTTGAAGACCAGGGAAGTCCTGGGCTAGATTCGCAGGTTGTTCCATAGGGTTTACAGAGGAGACTGAGCGGAGATATTGTCGGGAGCCATCATAAATTTCATCGATGAACTTCCCAAATTCCTTTGTGACGTATGAGAAGTTCTTAGTCTGGAAATTCATATTTTCGGATTTTGCTTCATGTACCACTACCTAAGGAAACCATTAGCACTTTCGATCTGGTTATTGATCGGAGTCCCTCTACCTTGCGATCACGTCCGATAGCCTTCTCGAGGTATTCTTTCCTCCAAGTTTTCACACATGAACCGAGATCAAGGCCGCTAAGAATAACAGGCTTTGCCTTGTCAACAACTCTCTGAAACTCTTGAGGCGTCGAAATGTTGATTCGGGGGATTATCTCTATCCCAGGGGAATTTGCATTTGGCCGCTCATCTACTGTTGTAGTAGATACCTCCTCCAGCAGGTTAGCATCTTGTCCGTTAGTTGACGGTTCGCAAAGACTCCACCCGTTGATAGCTTTAGATTTTGCGCTCTGCAATAGCCAAGTGCTTTCGTTCCAATATATCCCAAATGAGAAACAAAGAGCACCACCGCCAACAATGAGTACATCGTCATCACCAACTTTGCAAGAGGAGTGACCAACAAGGAGTGGTCTTGGTCCGATGGATTCAAGGTCCAAGCCAACAGCTGTCAAAAGAGGGATATTGGGAGCAAGAACCAACCCATCCAGCGCATTTTTATTCAGAAGCATTATTTCATAGGCCTGGGGTATGCAGCAATGCTTGGCCACCCCCCCAATTATAAAGCAGCCCCTTGCCGTTGTGGTTATTGATGCCCCAAAACGTCCTAGCCACTTATCGAGGGGACTGGAAGCACATATGGTTTCTGTGAGATTATTTAACTCGACATGTATCCGTCCATCACTGGATTTTACTAGTTTCCAGGTCCAGAAGTCATCCAGCACGACGGCGTATCGTGACATGCCTCCAAATACCACTCCAGACTGTCCGTCGATATTCACAATTGACGCCCCAAATCTTGCTATAGGAGACTGATTGGCTACAGTAGCCTCCTGCCAACCTTTCGACACATTCCATAAGAACCATGTACCCGAAACGTCACCATTATTAGTTTTGCCGCCGTAGATGAGTACATAAGCGTCATTCCCTCCAAGATTCACTGCAGTTGCACAGTGCCTGTAAAGTGGAGTTGGAAGGTTATCAGTTCGATTCCATCGTCCAGAGTGCCTTAGCCAACAATCAGCCATAACCTTTTTAGGAGCAGCCCTGCCTCCTACAAGCAGACAATCCTGTCCATAAAATTGAGTTATAGTGTGGCACAATCGAGGTTCCACATCAAGTGGTGGCATTTCACCACTTGCTGTCTTACTTTTTGATACCGTATATTCATCAGTCGAAGAGAGTCGAGTTTGTTGACCTAGGCCACCGTGTAATCCGAATGTATTAGCGGAAGTAGGGAGTATCGCGCCGAATCGTCGCTTGCTGGTGATCTTCGGAGAGCACAAAGGAATCAGTGCTAACGGACTTGGCTCTATCAGAGCTTCTCCCGACTCATCTGGAGGTTCTGATTCTGCTGTCGTCTTACGAATGCTAGCAGAGAGCAGAAAATGATGTGAGGCGAAGAGGGCGAACTCTTCCCACTCATCAAAAGCCTCGATAGAATCAAGGGATAGCCTCTCATCTTCAGTAACGAATGTAGGGTCATTCCAGAGTTCCCATAAGTTTGTTGCTTTTGCGTTTGTCCAACCAGATCCACGAAATCGCTGCTCATGCTGGCGGAGCGAAGGATATTTATGGACTGAATGTAACGGGCATGGGAGCTTTAAGAAATCTTTCATCATTACAGCTGCAAATGGATGGTGTGGCCCCTCTGGGAAATACTGCTCCAGCAAACAGAAATTTACATCTTTCCAGCTGTTAGTCGAATTGGGCACTTTTATTGACTACGATTAGAGAGGAGAGACCAGAAACTCTTACCATTACTTAGCTTTGGCATAAACCGAATAAGGGCGTCCGCTAGCTCAACTTCCATGTAAGTTATTGACACTTCAGCTATGCAAAGGATCGAAGCTTGATCTAAGCCTATCACGCCGCTTAATGCGGCATCTAGTTCTGAAAGATCTCCGAGATCGCACCCGATACCAACATATTCTTTGCTTCGCAAAAGGATACTATCTGTTTCTGGTGTCAATTGGACATCCGAAAGAAGGTCCCGTAGTGTAGGGCATTGGGTTATTATATCTCTTTTTTTGACCATCAGCTGCTGGTGGTCGACATCAATGAATTTGGCATTTTGGCACAGAGCAGCGTCTCGGTTCAGGAATTGAAAAGGAAGTGGATCGCTTCATATAAAGCCCATATAATCTTATATTAGCATGTATGTACTGTGCATATTAACTTCGAGACCTTTCTAGACTTTCTGGTACAACCGCCTGTTAGCAACTTACAAGCCACAGCCGAGATTCACAACAACTTTCTGATGTCCCGACGGTCCTTCGAGAAACCTCCGCACCATGTTTTCCACAGCACGCATGCGCAGCCAGTAACCGCGATTGACCAATGGCGAGCGCCTCAGGGGCTTCTTCACAAAATAGCGGAAAAAGTGAGGCTCAGGATAGTAGATGCGCTCCACACTGCGTTTTGAAACTATGCTGGCACTATTGGTCTAAACTGGATGTTAAGATTGGGTTGGTCAGATACCGGTAAACTAACGGCTGCAAATAAAATGGCAAGAATCATGCAAATATCCACCATACCTCCATCACGGCGGTCGCTCCCCTCTCGGCCTTCGTGCTTTTCGGCGCCATGGTGCCAAAGAGAGCCTTCGTGGGAGTGCCCGTCTCTCCTCCCCTCTTAAGGTTCTTTATTTTTTCCTTACTCTGTAGGTATGTCACGGGGAACAAGATGTGGTCTGAGCGCAGGCGTCCCGATTGGACTAGGTCCATGCTCAAAATGGTGTTTGCCTTGTTTGCTTTCGCGTTTACCTCAACCTCTGTCAGGCGCCCGCTTTTGATCATCACCATCAACTATCAACTATCAACTGCGAGCTAGCCAGCAACCACACTCCTAACGACGCATCTATCGGCTTTGCTTGCCACTGCCAGTCACTATTTCACTGTCTTCTCCTGGGTATTGTTTCTTAATTTCAAGCTGTGTCTGCCTATGGCATGCGGATGCTTTAGTTGTTCTGGCCGTCCACTTAATGGGTGCTATCAATGACAGTAAGAGACATTTACAAGGAAGGATAAATATCAGTGAACGTGTCAACTTTTGGATGGCCTGGGATACAACGTATACTCCCTTTTTAGCACGATAGAAACGCTGTCTTGTTCTTAAACATGGCTATGAATTTCGTCACCTTCAATCAGGACTATAGCTATTTAGCTGTCGGTGGGTAATCCAATATCGAAGTGCTCCACATACAAAATTACCATTTCTGATAATGTCCGATTTCATATTTATTCAGGTACCGAA